AGCCTTCGTGGGGGCCTACGAATAGTGCCAGCCCACCCAAGTTACGATCCATATAATCCATTTTTCTCGTCTTTGGTTCATACTTGTGAACATCAAACCCAACAGTCTTGTGCGGCACGCTTTCATCAAAACCCCCCTCGTTATAGACATTATCGAAAAATGAGCCATCAGGTGCCACACGTACTGCCGCACTTGAAAAAGCTCATCTGTATGCTCGGAAAGCACGAGGAACACGGCATCATATGCGCATAGATGCTTCAGTTCCGACTCTAACTCCGAGTGGGATGCAACCGGGTAATTGTGTTTGTCCACAGTCACAGGCAGGGGAACCATTTTGGGGGAAAGAGGGTCATGAAGGTCCCAAGTCTCGATGTGGTCGGTTCTACTAGACGGCCCTTTGGCGCAAAAGAAGAGCTTCTGCCTGCTCGAATACGTTAAGGAGTCAAATTGAAATGAGGTGGAAGGGTGGCCGATTCGGGTCCACTCGGAGTTGGTGTGGCCAGGGCAGCAGAAGGCCAATCTATCATTTGGAGAGCAAGTGATCAAGACTCGGCAGTCTTGTTCAAACGGGTCGTCCGATGAAATGATGACGTTGTGTACATTCAAGCCTTTGTAGGACAATGGGTCGAGGGACGGAAGCTTTATGTGACGTCCGGTGAGAGGATTGGAGAGGAAGAGATCACAGTAGTTTTCCTCTTTAAACAGAGCAAGCCAGCCCCGAGATGATCCCACAATGTCCAAATTGTCGCCCGGCACACACGAGTCATCATCACATGATGATGGTGTTGATCTCTTGGGGACACTTAATACTCTGTCCAAGCCCAGGCTATAGAACTGGTAAAACATATCTAACTTTTTATTCTTGTTATTGCCTTGGAAAACAGGTGGCAGCATCAGCCAAGGAGACGTGGAAGATGACCTTTTGGTTTTCGGCACATTAGCATTAATCATCGTACTCAACTTAGGACCATGTCGAGTAAATGAATTGAAAATCAAACCATTGTAGGACTTCGTAGCCATTTTAAGTGCTGCTGGTCCTCCTCGTCTGCATAAAACCATGGCGATTGGATTTGAACTTTTTCCTATGTCAGTCTAATGGCGATTGTGATGCAAGTAAGTAAACATATATAAAACAGTATCTTATCTCGTAGTTATCAATTGATTGATTTGATTCCTTATTAATTAATGATAGCATCGTATCATTAGTAGTATTGTTCATAGGCAAGGTTACTTCTTGTAACTATACAAGTTTAAAGGCACTAAATAATGATGTTACGTTATGAATCGTATCCACATAAACCAGTATCTTATCGCTATCTCTGTAAATCTTGTTCATGCCTATCAATTGATTTGATTCCTAAATGATATATCATCATTAGCATTAGTATTGTTCATATGTTACTTATACCTATACAAGTTTAAAGGCAATATTATTATTCTTTGTGAATATCTATACAGTAGTTTTAACTTTAAGGCAATAATATTGCATTATATCTCGTATCCTAATTTTATTTTTTATTCAGTAAAAATGTTGTACTATATAAGCTTATTCCATTAAGCTGGTCAATTAAAGTAAATATAAATTTCAATAAAATTATCCTTTTGTGTATATCTCTCACTACATATGCTCGCACACAAAGAAAAAAAAAAAGCTTTGA